TAGTTAGACTTTGTTATTAGATATTACGAAGAAGACAAAATCTGAAACTATAACGAGCTTTTCTCGCAAGGGAAGCAATCAGGTTTTGACACCTCATTCATCATCACCTAACAGACACAAAACATCAAATTTGTTAATACTCGCAAAAGTGGGACGCTCTTGTTTTTGGTGATGATTTTGTTTCCGGTGATGATCTTGATCTTTAGGTGTTGATGTGCTCGTGGGTCGTCTACACTTTTTTTCTGGTGGGCTTATAGATATTGGAGCATGGGTTGTCGTCATAATATTAAACTTAAGATCCTCTACATGGTTTACACAGACGTGAACTGAACTATAGGTTTCCTCTTCATGGTATTCTCCAACACCTTGGATTTCAACAGAGTGGAGAGTGTTCCTTTCAGGATTAAAGTAGAAAACATAAAGCGGTACTTCATATTCATAGCTCCACAGAACAATTTCACCTGTGGATGTTACTCCACTAGCACCTAGAAACTTGGAAGGAACAAGGGCATTATCCTCCAAAAAAGTGTAGACATAGGTCGACCAATCTTGTTTCTCAAGATCCTCTAGAACCCACATACGCAACTCAATGGGATAAGTGTTATCAGAACTACGATCAATCGCACCTAATTTACCCTTATAGTTTACCAATCGAGTAGTCCAATCACAAAACCAACTTACGTCAATAAACTTGAATTTCTCAAACCTAACATCAAAGCAAACAATACCCACGGCAAACCCTGTAAACCCGGTACTGAGTAATACAAAATCCCATTGATAGATATCCCTTCACACCAAGGATCATGGGTTAAGGGACACTGGATTTTCCTCCACCTCATTTTTCCAGATTCCACAGTCAAAATTCTACAATCTTGATCAAATTTCATGTACAATACCTTGTATTGCTTGCCAATAGGATCAAACCCTAAAAAGCTTCTCGGCGTGTGGTATGTTCTGAGATTAGGTAATATCGCAAACCTTCCCGTGCTAGGGTTACATATAACATGCACTGTATTCTCACTTTCTTTTGAGATCGACATACTAGAGAAATAGATCAAACCAGAGGTAAGTTACTAAAGTCTGGACGCATATCTTGACGGAACTTCATATGAAAATCGGCGGATACTACAAGAGACGACTTCTCATGTGGATTTTTAGGCTGAGGCGACGAGAAGAAATTCCACTCACCGACTCTTTGGATGGCGAATAAGATTCGTGGACGAGCCGAGGAGCTGGTCAAGAATAACTTGGTAAAATATGGACGGCCAAGTATGGACGACCATAGTTTCGACATGCAACGAAACCTCACTATGGACTTTGCAGGCAATCTTGAAAGTATCTCGATTATGAGATCAATCGGGATGGAATATGAGTTTACTCCTCTATTCATCATCGTTTCATTCGCTGATCAGACGGCTGAGAGAGATCAATCATCACATAGTTTGGGTCCTAGGGCATATTTATTATGAACCAAACCGAACCTAATCGAAGTTTGGGTATTACGGTTCGATTTTGGTTTAAAGGTTTGATTTACCACCGAAAGTTACTTTGAATAATAATAGAAACCAATCAAAAGTAATTGATACTTGATAGAGGTATTTTCTTCTGAAAAAGCAGCTACATATCCTAGTTTGGTACAATATCAGACTAAAAATAATATATTTTTGGATTACCGAATAACACATTAACAAATCGTTCCGTGATTTTCTTAACAGTCACACGATTATTTAAAAACTAATGTGGTTAACGTTCATTTATTTCTTAATTTTGCTGTTTAAACTTTAAATCACCAAAAAAATGTTGATTACGTCGTTCTGGTCAACGATTAAACCATTGGAATCATGATTTAAGTACAAAAAGTCCATTTTTTACATGAACGAATAATAATTTAGGATATTAAGTTATTAACAACTAGATTTTATTGCGTATTATATAAAGATACTCGATCAAACACTGGTCTCCTGCCTAACCATTCCGATTGTATATATTAGAATTTATTCCTCAAGTACTATAAGTCTTAAGTTTTAAAAAAAAATAAAAAAGTACTATAAGTCTTCCACGTATATACGTAGTACACGACCATAATGTAACGTATCCAAATATACATATATTCGTACGCAAATTAATAACATAATTTAATTTGTCAACGTTTATAGATAATTTCTTAGTGTAAATCCGTGCATATGTCACATCAGTATAAGAATAATGTAGATGTATATAAATACGCAAAGAGAGAGATTAGATATTTTAGATGGATCCTCCTGAAATCGTGTTCTCACGATAGCTACGAGCAAGGAGCACCTTAGTTATATTTAAAAGCCGGCCAACAGAAATCAAGGAACAAACCAAAAAAAAATCAAGAATAGTTTTATCTTTCGAAGTTAATTCCTCATGACCCTCTAAAAAATCTACCAATCTCTCTCCCGTAATAAAAATTCGGAGAAAGAGGAAAACCTAATTATCTCCTCTTTCTCACGGATC